TTGTTTAATTCTGTAGGCTCAACGTGACTGGCAGTTCTGTAATCCCAACATGTCAAATTGTTCTAGTATGTAACCTTAACACAAGAGTATGTTCGACTCTATATCCCTAACATAATGACCATGATCTATTCTGTAATGCTAACACAATGACATGATCTATTCTGTAATCCTAACACAATGACATGATCTATTTTGTAATCCTAACACAATGACATGATCTATTTTGTAATCCTAACACAATGACATGATCTATTCTGTAATCCTAACACAATGACATGATCTATTTGTAATCCTAACACAATGACATGATCTATTTTGTAATCCTAACACAATGACATGATCTATTCTGTAATCCTAACACAATGACATGATCTATTCTGTAATCCTAACACAATGACATGATCTATTTTGTAATCCTAACACAATGACATGATCTATTCTGTAATCCTAACACAATGACATGATCTACTCTGTAATCATAAGACAAATGATCTACTCTTTAATCTTAACACGAGTATTATCTACTCTACAGTCCTTACATAATTAGTACATTCTACTCGATAATCTACACAATGAGCATGACCTACTCTTTAATCTCATACAATGAGTATGCTCCACTCTATAATCTAATACAATGAGCATGAGCTACTTTAAAACCCTAACTCTAATGTCTACTTTATAATGCTTGCCCGATTAGTTCATTCTACTTGATAATCTACATAATGAACATGTTCTACTCTATAATTTAACACAATGTGTATGTTCTCTAAAATCTAACACAATGAGTACGCTCTACAATCTAATTAATACAATGAGCATGATCTACTCTATAACCCTAACACTCTAATCTTTACACGAGAATTATCTACTTTATAATCCTTGCATAATTAGTATATTCTACTTGATAATCTACATAATAAACATGTTCTGCTCTATAATTTAACACAATGAGCATAATCTACTCTGTAACCCTAACATAATGAGTATGATCTACTCTATAACCCTAACACTGTCAGCATGATCTACTCCATAACTCTAACACAATTAGTATGGTCTACTCTAAAACTCTACACAATTAGCATAATCTACTCTAAAACCCTACAAAATAGGTTCTACTCTATAATTACAACACTTACAGCATATCCCCTTGTATATTCCTAAACAACTCTGATGAAGCCACTAACCTGCTACAGCCTGGCTTCGAACACTGTGCGCATTCATCGCTTTCCCGATATCCTCCAGCCAAGAAGAAGCCATGGATGGAGCTGGCAAATACTCGCCGCCATCGTCGTCATCCTCGTCAGCTGCTGTGTGCCTCCTGGCTGGTGTCCTCACTTCCTGTACAGCTGAAGAGACATACCCAGCACTTTCCTGAGCTGCCGCACGTCCCCATGCAGCACCCTGAGGGATTGACTTGCCTGCTTTCAGCATCTGGTGACAACAATCACAGTGGTAGCTATTTGCTGAAAGCTTATGGGAGAGAAGACTTACATGGGTAGTGAAAATGTCCACCTAACTGGAGGGAGAACATATGTGGTCAGTAAAAATGTCCACCTTACTGGAGAAAGAACATGCTGGGCAGTAACAATGTCCATCTTACTGGAGAGAGAACTTACATGGGTAGTGAAAATGTCCACCTTATTGGAGAGAGAACATAAGTGGGTAGAAACAATGCCAACTGTACTGGAGAGAGAACATATGTGGAGCATATGTGGATAGTAACAACGCCCACCGTACTGGAGAGAAAACATATGTGGGTAGTAACAATACCAACCTTAATAGAGAGAGGATGGTTAACCAAGAATGTCAGAAAGCAACTAAAAGATTCATATGAGACTTGCTTTTTTTTCAAACACTAGGCATACTATACTATCATGGAGAAAACTTTGGCTGCAAATCCAAGCAATCAGGAACCTACAACGGAGTTTCTTCTTCTTTGTGTCTGGCCTCTCAGGCTGTGGTTTACAGCTAGGCTACAATATCTTCATTTGGGGGGGAGGGGGGGTGTTAGCTTTTGGTTACACCCCTAATTTCAGGAAACCCTTCATTAGTTGCCTTGTATATGAGCTTGTTAAAGCGAAGCTGATTTATTCCCCCTCCCCTAAAAATATGGATCTCCTGGAACCTAACAGGGCTACAATACGTTTGACAATGCTTGCTTGAGAGATTATATTCTAACTGAGAAGACAGGCAGAAGAAGTATATTTCAACACTGACCTGTGCAAAAGACAGACCAGTCTGACTGCCCTCACTATCATTACGTTGTCGAGGACTACCGCCGGCCGTAGGATCCACAGCTGAAACATAACAACCAAACATATCTCACAGACATTAGGCAAGCCTCCGGACACCCATTGCTGTTGGGGTGTCAGGTTTCTTTTTTCTCTTCTGCCTTCTATCCCCCAATGAAGCATGGGCCCCCAACCAACTCAAGTCAAGTCATTTTATCCTTCGCTACTGCATGCAGCTCACCCCATGTCCCCCCTCACCTTTTTTAAACGTCACTTCCCTGTGCTTTTGGGGGGGGGGGGGGGGGGGGGGGGGGGGGGGGGGGTTCCTTTATTTCTATGCCCCTGTGAGTTCCAGTGTGCAAATAAAGTTTAGTTATAATATTCTCAGGTTTTCTTTGTGTGTGTCCCCTATCCAACACCAAAATTTTTTACCCCCAATGAATGAATGTTGCCAAACATCTGATTACCACATACTTTATAACCCTGGCTCAACAAGGTGATGTGACCGGTTTATTTCCTCCCTGCCCTTCCTTTCCAGCACACACAGATTATCACTGCATCAGCCAGTGGTCAGGAGATGTGGCTCCGGAAAAAGGCGACAAAAGGACATACAATCAGACAGCTGCTAACTGGCACTCCTCCAGGGGCTGGAGCTTGGAGACCAAAGTTCTTACAACAACACTCCGACTACTGTGATGTTATTTCACCATCTTCTTTTCGTATGTCTGAGTGACATAATTATGTTGTGCTATTCACAGCACAGATGCGATTTCTGCGCTTTTCAGCTGACACATCTGACTTTATCTGGTCAGTTTCATTGGGTCAGCCTTTCCAGATTCAACTCAGAAAATTAGAACAAGAATCTTCCCAGTGTATGTTAGCGTTCGGGTGTGGATTGAAGCAGGAAATGCTTTCTGCTCCCTAAACAACGCATCATGTGTACCAGACATTCCTCATGTGCACCAGTCAACATTCTGCGTCTACTTGTACATCTCAAGTTTGGTCAGGCAAACTAAATCAATCTGGCAACACAATATGTGTTGTGTATTTGGACCCCGTGGATGCAGTACACACAAGCTTTTGCTGTCACTATTGCTTCAACCAGGCATCAGCTGGGACTTACAGAGTCCATATACATCCAGTCTCCGAGATGACCCAGGCTTAACTGGCCCCAGTAAATGTTCCGTGGGGTCAGGACAGCCGGGGTAATGACAGCCTTTATAAGCCAACAAGTAATGGCTGAACTATTTGAAAATATGCTATCAGCACCCTAAGGCAGCAACTGTGATGTAGCGGCTACACTCCCATGCAGATCCGAAGGTCGTGGGTTTAAACCCAGAGCCAGACTTTTTTTTTAAGTGATCTTGGTTCCCAGGTCACTCCAGCCTTCAAGGGGCACCAGGTGAATTCTTGGGAAGTAAAGGCAGCCACTGTGATGCTGATGACATCATCCACTGAGTGCCAGTTGGTCCACAAAATATAGGTCTAGCACCATATGCCCAATACAAGTGATTAGTGATTAGAAAGGATTATCATCACAGCACTCTGGACAGATCCACAGGTGCTCTGATCTCCTCCTCAGAAGCCCGACAAGTGTAAAACGACTGATGACGCCTGTTCTGTGTTGGTTAATGAAACGTTTTGTCCCCTTAGTGAAATGTTCATTTCTTGCAGCTCCAGGCTGCACTCCTTTGTCCATCAGTCTAGACAGGGATACGGAGTCATGTCCTTTAGCGTGCTCCTCAATACAGTAAGTGCAGCCGCAGGGCATTGATAACATCACTTCTGTCCAGTACTGGACCAGCCATAGCAACCGCAGTGTCAGCAAAGATAGTCTGCACACTCGTTCCCTTGAAAACCCACATGACCTGGCCCAAAGATGAATGTTAGGGCAGATATTTGTGAAGTGCTTTAGTGTTGCAATCCATTCTTGCCTGATAAATCCAGCTTGGATTTTTTTTAAGGATATTCATCGAGTTGCCCAATACAAGTGAAAGAGTGCTTTACTTTAACACAAAGATTTAAATGGTTCGGCCATCTTGTGAGAATACAGCCAGACCAGATTACATATGAGACTTGCAAATGGACAATGAAAAGGGCACAAGTACAGAAAATTACATCTGAAATGAGCTGTCTCCGCAAGGTCACTAACAACACTAGACGAGACAGGGTTACGAACACCAGCTTAGAGACAAAGTTGGAATAAGCCTTGACAGACAAAGAATGAAACGGTTCGGCCATTTAGTGAAAATGCAGCCAGACCAGACTGCATATGAGACTTTTTACAGCAGAACGCCTGGGAGAAAGGCGAGAGAAAGACCAAGAAAGAGATGAATAAATGATATAGATGAACCCTGCAAAAAGCTGAACAAATTCATCATTCAAGCCACCTGAGAAGTGTAAGACAAATACAGAAAATCATGACACTGGGCTACAACCTGGTAACAGTAAGACAAAAGAAGCAGATGACGAAAGAAGAAGACACCGAACACTTTTTTTAAAAAAAAAATAACTAGATTGTCTCCGGAGCTACAGAGTTCGTGCTCTGTGCAGCACTCCCGGCAGGCAGCTAGCCATTATGCAGAGAGGGACCCAGCCACACGGGATAAAACCTGGTGCAGTGAGGTTGATCCTCTCGAATAAAATGTACATCCCAGAGTCCTCTTCTCCTTAAGCCACCAGAGCAATATAACATTCTTCATGTCACCAAACATACCACCATCCTTGCCACTACATGTCATGAACAGGAAAGTCACAACAAGAACTAACCTAAAGCTTCAGTGACTGTCTCTGTAACATCGTCTGACCTCACTGAGCTCCCAAAACTGCCCTCAAGACTGCCGAGGCTACTGAAGCTTCCCAAGGAGGCAGGAAACTGTGTCAGATTGTCCAGGGGAATCTGCACCTCAGGATCTGCACACAACAGGTGACACTATTGACTTCAGTAAACAGTCAATATTTGTAAACTCATAACCACACAAAAAAATAGAAATGATCCTACAAGCCAGTGGCTCTCAACCTTACTAATGCCACGACCCTTTAATACAGTTCTCTTATGTTGTAGCGCCCCCTAAACAAATATTTTTCTTTATAACTTCAATGAATATCTGTTTTCTGATGGTCTCAGGTGACCCATGTTTAAGGGTCATTCAACCCAAAAAGGGTGGCGACCCGCGGGTTGGGAACTGCTAATTATTCCACTAACCAACAATAATTAACAAAATTTAAACCAAAAAAATCAAGTTTTCTTGTTCTTCATGTCCTCTTTTATCACTTCAGGTGTCAAAGGGATATCCCCCCCCCCCTTTTTAGCGTGCACCGGCTGTAAACCACAAGAAAATTACATACATTCAACCAACATCTTATGTGAGAAAATCAAAGACTTACAAATGCCAAAACTTGCTTTATGCTCTACTTCTTGCTGCCTGGCTCGTTCCTTTTCTTCCTTCTTCTTCCGGAGCCGAGCTTTGTGACGTTTGTCAAATTCAGCTGGAACAACAATAAATCTCTGTTGAAGAATTTACTTAAATACGTTTGTAACATCCACCAAGTTGAACCAGTCGAAAATTTACTACTTTCAAAAAACAATTAAAAGGCGGGGGGGGGGGGGGGGGGGGGGGGGTTGTCAAAGCTACAGAAAGAGACATAATTTTGACATTTAATTATAATTTAATGCTCAGCATCTGTGGCATAGGCAAACATGCTTCATAATGCCGGGGTGCCGGGCGCGATCTCAAATGCAGGCGATTTTTCGCTTTGCATTGGTTTCAACAGTGGTATCGAGAGCCGACCGATCAAAAAGCAATGGCAAATTACTGAAAGTAAAATTTGCCTAGAAAAACCACAACAGTCAAACAAATGCTGGGTTGGTGTGAGTCATGGGCAATGACAACAGCTCCCACAAGTCAGCTTCAGGTTTCAGAAATGAGATATCTGAGAGAGGGGATCCAAGTCACAAGAAGCAGCAAAGTTCGCAATCAGACAATACGTAAGCATAAGAGGCTAAGAACCAGGGAACCAAACCTCCAGGGCGACCCAGGGTCTGGTGGTAAGAAAACATCAGACAGAAAAGGAATGGAACAAAGCTAGAATGCTGCTGATAAAGAAGTCAGATAATCTCTTAGGCAAACCTCTACACCCTGTGGTAGAAGAGGAGTGACTAAATGAGTAACAGAAGGTTTGTACAGTTAGAGGAAGGAAGTGTGAAAGAAAACAAAACAGCAGATAACATTACAATAAAAAAAATATCACTAAACTCAAGATTCAGCACTTCGTGAATGGCTGGCCTAACTGTAACCTTTGTGGTGGGCATGTAGGTGTTCAAGGCAATGAATGTGCAAATTTTGTGGTTACTATGGCTGATCAGATACCAGGACCAAGTCCCAAAGTGGTCCAGGCCCTTTTACACCTCTCCACATTCATCCTAGACACAGGTTCCCAGCTGGCAGCCTGGTCAGCTTAAACTGGATCTATTTTTCCATCACAGTCAGAATGCTTCTTCCTGAGAAGGGAGGATCCAGCAGCCCACAAACAAATAAGCCAGATCCATTAAATGAATGTACATGCTACGCTCTTGTCCCAGAGCAAGACTAAAGTCCAGAAAGTTGACACAAACAGTTTACAGTCGGTGATGTACATGAAAAAGATGAATGCACATTATGATAAACATGGAAATCTGACCAGCACAGAGACTTACCAGTTCTGTCAGGGAGATGAACTGAACAGAATATTATAAAACAAGCTCAAGAAGAAGGTGTTCTGCAGCAATCTAACCCTAAAGCTTAAAAATAAAAGGACACTTACTTTGGAAATGCTGAAGCGTCTCACGACTAATTAGTGGCGGCTGAAACTTCAGCTCTACAACATGGAACTCACAGGTCAGCGGGATGTGGTTCAGATACCTCAGACGCTTCCGGACATCCTATGAGATTTACAGGAGAAAAACAAGGGTGGCTTTGAAAAAATACATTGTTATTATTTAGAATCAACATCATAGGACCCTGGGCATACCCATAGATGCTCCCTTCCGTAGCAAATGTCTTTAGGTGTAGATGCTAACCGTTCCCATAGCACACTGATTATACACACGGCGTTCTCTTCCTCTCATCCGTCCTCTCCTTGCCCGATCCGTTCCTAATTCCTCGTTCACACATTCTTACACATGTTATTTCATCTCGCGTCTTCTGTCAACATTAGTTCATACAATACATGGTCTTCAGAATGTCTCCCTTGTCTGGTAAGAGTGCTGTCGTAGCTATCGATTTTGTAGCCAGAAAATCCGCTCTTCCATTTCCTCATCTCCCTGCATGTCCCAGACAGTATATCTACGTGATTCCCTGCAATGTTTGCGTACTGATACTTGTATCCACTTTCCACATTAGTCCATTTAAAACCTTATGCAGTACCGACCGAGAGTCAGTCGCAATAATTCCTTTGCTAACTCTAAAAACAAAAATTTAAAAAGAATTAACTAAATAACGACAATCCATGATCCATCAAAACATTGGTATAGGGGTACCCTGGAGGACGCATGAAGACTTTGTTGAAGTTAACCATCAACTTAATTCACAAGCAAGAGATCTCTTCTTTATTCTTCTGTGTTTGCCTTTCAAAGAGCGGTTGGCACGTTGTGGTTCACAGCTAAACTGTGAGATCTGCCCCTTTCTGCCCATCATCTCCAATTTAAGCAAATCCTTAATTGGTCTTTGACCCTAAGGATTTAAGATGGCATGGCTAGGGCTATCGCCATGGACTGAGCAGGTGAGGATTTTATTTTTGCCCTTAACAGAAAAAACCTGCAACCTCACACAATAGCCCAGCGTTTTTATCTGTTCAGCTAGTTGCTACAAATTTTCATTGAATGTTCTTAAACAAATATACAATAAATTAGTTGCATATCCCTCATTATCAATTCTCTTTATGCCTAGTGGCACATGAGGCTTCAAAAAGATACTTTCTATGCTTTCCTGTCCTGTGCAATCTTTAGTGCAGTTTTCCATGTCAGAGATGCCGCACTCAGATCACTTTCCATCGTTTGTCTCAATGTTGTTTTTGGGTGCCCCTTCTTTCCCTCTGGTGTCCAAGTGACAGCAGTTTTGGCAGGTATATCAGGATTCGTTCTCATAACGTGGCCAAGCCATTTGCATCTTCTATTTTGCATATCCCTCATAGGACATCACAAACCATCATCATCAACCTTATCTACAGTTAGTTGCTTTACAGGAGGACACAGCAGGACCAACCCCATAATTTGGGAAGGGGGCTATTTGGTTTTATGAGGCAAATTTTGCATTCAGCACTTTACCACTGCTTTCCGAACAATCAATTCCCCATACCATTGACGAAATTAGCTCAAAGAAGTCTGCTGCCAAACTGCCTGCAGCTGGAATCTACCCTATTACTTCTGGAATTACGCACACATTTGCAACACTCAAGATACAGCTGCTGCACAATTTCACTGGGCATGTCTACATTTAGTAGTCAGCTGTTGCTCACATAACAGTCAATGCTCAAGCCATTACCAAAATTAACACACATGGGTCTCTTTAAACAAAATAATAAAGGGAGAAAACAAATAGAGACCCAAAAAATTCCAAACTTCCGCTGACCTCGCTCATGAAGATCCTCTCAATGGCCACAATCTTGGCTCTGATAACTTCAGGGCTGTGTTCCAAGTTCCCGTACTCCCTGGTCAAGCACTGGGCATTCAGAGAGTTCAGGTAGATATGCTGTCCACTAGAGGCTGCACACAAACACAAAGCTGACATATGACATCCAATAATGGCAAATGGAAAAACAGTAGAGGGCCCATTTTAACACCAGTGGCATCAGGCTAGATTCAGATTTTTATAGATCAATCTGGTTAATGAGTCTTACGACGAATCTTTGGACCCATCAAAGAGGCAAACAGCCGAGAATGTAGAGTGAGAAGCAACAAGGAAATTCATAATCTGTTTAAATCACCACTGATCACTGGCATCATGAAAGCTAATAGACTGAAATGGTTGGGGCATATTGAAAGAATGTCAGATGACAGAGAAGTAAAAACTGTATACACGAGGGAGATGAATGGTCATAGACCACGAGGCAGACCAATAAGACGATGGAGAGATAATATCAAGATTGACCTGCAAACACTTGGTGTCACCGACTGAAAAAGAGAAGGCCAACCAGACTGATAAATGGAAACGGGTGATATCTGCAGCAATGAACCCAAAGGGCTCGGAATGCTAAAGAAGAAGAATCTGGCTGCTGATGGGTGGTCGACATCACGCCAGCCAACTTTACTTCCTAAGAAATTGACCTCTTCTAGAAAATGCAAGAATTAAAAACAAATCACCAAATTCTAACTGATTACCTCAGTTTTACAGAAGCATGACAAGAACCCATGGATAAAAATAAAATGTAAAGAAAATGCAATGAAAGAAATTACCTCATACAGCTCTCATTATATGCATTACAAAACGAGAAAGTGAAAACTAGAATACAGGGTCTCCTTGGCTTAAGACTTAAAGTTCCATTCCACCCAACAGGTCTAAGTCAAACTGGTAGAAAGTCGACTTTATATTTTTCAACACTATTTCATTCAAACGGGTTATAACAACTGTACAGTAAACATAAAAATTCAATGTATGCATATATAATTGTTGGCGTCTGTGGCTTTGGCACTGCGAACAAGCTTTGCAATGCAGGGTTAGATCCCAGCTGCAGGTCTTGCGCTGGTTTCGACAGTCGTATCGAAAAGCCGACCATCCAGGAAGCAATGACAAACTACTGGACATAAATTGCCTAGAAAAACCACAATAGCCAAAAAAATGCTGGTGTTGTTTCTACAATGTCCTGTAAAGAATATGCAACTAACTTTAACTAACTAAAAGGGGACCCCAGAACTCAGGAAACTCAAACAAATATCATAAAGATGAAAGTGTCTTCAACTAAATTAACTCACAAAAATCTTTGCCCTCTTATCTTCACCAGCTGCGAACTCTGGCGTAAAGTTTTCTGGTTGTTCATCCACATCTGAATTTTAATCTTGTTCATGGACATGTGTTTTGTGTGCACATCCATTACACAGAGGTGGTTTACTTGTATGCAGGCTGTTGGTTCTTTATCTCAACAGATGCACTCCGATTTCAAAGGAAACACCCCTATTTAGTTGCCTTTTATGACATGTGTTGGGGGTGGAGAGAGAGAGGGTGGTGTGCGGTCTGTTCTTTGTCACATTCCCCCACTCCCTTTTCCAAGGGTCTTGGAACCTAGATGGGGGAACTTGTAAAGATTAATTAATTACCTTTATAAGAAAAAGTGAATCCACTGTTGTAGGTACGTCACCATACAGAAAAGAAAAACAAACAGTGGGAACAAAGAGATAAAATCTCATTTTGAGACAGTTTTGATGAATGGCATAGAAGACCATCTGTATCAGAAATGACTGACAGTACATGGGACAGAGGGCTGTGGACGACAAACACCCCTACGACATGTGACTACAAGATCTAGTACATACCTTGGTAAAAGTAGTATGTGTCCTTGTTGCGGCCACTATTCCTCTGCTGTGAAAACAAGCCAGTTCCTGCTTCGGGCAGCTCCAAGTGGTCAGCTGCCTCTTCTGGAGTCAAGTGGCCAGACATGCTGAACTGCTGGCTCATAAGAGGAAGAGTTCGAGCCGGGGAGCCAGGCTGAGGAGAGCCCATGCTATCTTCAAATTGTCCCTGTGAGGACACGCTGCCGTCAGCTGATGACAGCACCTCACTTTGTGACAAGTCTTGAGGCAAAAAGGCCTCGCCAAACACAGACTCTGAGGCACCACCTGCTTCCTGCTCCGATGCTGGGACCCTGGACTGCTCTGCTTCGTCTTCAAAAGCATCAGCATATATTATACTGGGCTGAAAAAGAGAATTAAATCTATAGGTTCTGATCAGACTTAAAGTAATAATAAACAAACTAATATAGAGACGAAAGCATGCAACATTAATAATAAGGCATGAGGCAAGATTAGAAAATAAGGTCTTCAAGATGCCTCACATAAAAGGGCACAAAGAATACACAATTCATGAACTGGCATTACGTTTCATGATGTGTATTATACAGAGTTAACGTATAAATTAGCTGGATTTTCTACTGGAATATACTTCTTCTTCATGTTCACCAGCTGTAAACTCAGGCAGAAAGATTTTGAGTGTTCATCCGTGACCAGACTAAACTCTTGTTCCAGAACTTGAGTGCTGTGTGCACATCTATTTCACAGATCTGGCTTATCTGTATGCAGACTCTTGGATACTTGACTCTCTGGCAGATTAGTTGACTTCTACATCATGCTCACTGGGTAAGCAGTAGGTCCATTCTTGTTTCCCCCACAATGGGGCCCCGGAACCCACAGGGGGAACCCAAACATACAACAAAAGCTATATTAGTTACCTCAGCCCCTTCATCACAAGGATTCACCTCGACAGCTGCTTCAGGTTCAGGGGCTGGCTTCAATGCTTCACAATCTGGGTCCAGTAGTTTGAGCTCCTTCTCTGAATCAGTCATGCTGTGGGCCTGGATCTTCATCTTTAAACCCTCTTCACGTTTCTATAAAATCCAGGTAAAGGGTAGAAAAAACAAGCAAATTAAACTTTTCTAATAAGAGATGAAAAACTGTATATATATATATATATATATATATATATATATATATATATATATATATATATACACATGAGTGTGTGTGTTCTCTTTCTCTCTTTATATATATATATATATATATATACACACACACACACACAAATGCACATACTTGTACTACCAAATGACTGGTCTGCAGTGAAAATGGCTGAGCCAAAAGTGACCCTTTGTTAAACGATCGAGTGGCAAAGCATGATCACTGCGCTGTGCCTCACAGACGAGATACCAGCGGTAACAGATCCCTATATAAGCGAGTGATGACCAAGGACAGTGACGAAACAATACAATTGTTAGAACAGCAATAAACAAGTTTCCTTGTCAATCTAAGTGTCATCGCATTGTGTTTCCTACTCACTTCAGCTGTTGAGAGAGAGAAAATTAAAGTCGCTGTTAAAGAAGAAAAGAAGCCAAGGAGACACATCACATGCAGCAAAGGGAAATCTGTATCAGGAACAAACAAGGCAGCAAACAAACCTGAAGAGAGTCCCTAGCCAAGTGAATGTAGGAAGTCTCGTACTCTTCAGCATCCAGCAGTAGCACGTCTAAATCATGTTTCTCTCTGTTGATAATGTATTCCTGGATCTGATCACAAGTTGCTGACAACAGCTTCATGTACTGGGTTATGGATCCATCTTAATGAAAACAGAACAGAAAAACTACATATTTTGACATATTTCAGGCAAAACAATAAATTGTGGCACTGCAATGGTATGTGACAAAATAACTATGCTGCTCACTTTGCTACAACAACCACATAACATTTCTTCTGACAATTATATTAGTAAAGAGAGATAAAATACTGCACTGGCTGTCACAAGCTGCAATGGATCATGTTACAGGGATGGGAGAAAATCCTGAAGGGAATAAGGATAAAGGACTGCAGGAAGGTTAAGAGCTGATAAGAAACATGTCAACACATAAGAATGATGGCAACAATGGTTTCTGAACTTCCATCCTTTCAACCATTTCACCCTTAGAAGCCCAAAGAAAAAAACCCACACTTCTAGGTAGGTCCAAAAACCCCCTAAATGTCACTTTTCCGACTTGTCTATGGTGACCTGGTTATGAGATGCACAGTTTATGTTATTGGGTGTTTTCACACCTGCCTAAACGTTTAAGAGGTCAGGATATGAATATATCAACTAATAATAGCATTTAGGAAGGGTTTTCCTATGAAGTAAATGAGGTCAGAGTTACTCCCCTAAGCCTCAGTGATAGGTTATGGCATGAGTAACTAACAAATGTGGAGGCTTGTTTTAGTGTCCCAGGGAATGTATTCCATTTAATGCTCCACTATGTTCGTGCTTATTGATTTCATACATCTGTTTATTTTTTTTAAACCAATTAAAAATGTACATAAATATTTTTTACACTGAGAGTCACTGTGGCGCTGGCGGCCAGACGCTAGCCTGCGAATCAGAAGGTTGTAGGTTCGCGTCCTGACGAAGCCAGACTTTTTTTTTAATGACCCTGACTTCCAGGTCGACCCAACCTTGAGTGCCGTCCTGGGAAGTAAAGGCGGCCCGCATGATGCTGACCACATCACCCACCAAGCGCCGATTGGTCTATAAAAATATAGGTCTAGCCCTATATTCCCAATACACATACAAGGTGTGGAAAAGGGACCTAAACTTTTTTCAACTTTATATTTTACACTAATTTATTAGTAACCTCACATATAAATTTTACAGATATTTGTGTGTATGGGTGTGGAATTCTAACGGGGTTATGGCCTTTTTTTTTCCCTAGTGCTCCGGGGCGAAAGGGTGAAATGAAACTGGTCGTGCTAGTCACCTGGCCATCACCAAGGGCTGTGATACCCATGCTTCCTTACACCACAATGTCTAGAAAGATGGAAATTTGCCAACAGGTCAGAAGCAAATGGGAGACAACCAGTGGAAGAACTTATCCAAATGGGGAAGAGATGATTCCGGAACAGGATGAACACCTGCAACATTCAGCAGTGGCATATTCTTCTTCTTCTTCCGTTCGCTTGAAATAAATTATCTATATCTGCAATGCTGTCTCTGGTATCTTCTTCTTCTTTCTTCTTTGCGTTCACCAGCTGTACACTCTGGTGTAAAGTTCTGGTTGTTCGTCCACTTCTGGACTGCAGTCCTGCTCCAGAACCTGAGTGTTGCGTGTGCATCAGTTTTACAGATCTGATTCAATTGAATGCAGACTGCTGGTTCCTTGCCTCTCAGGCAGATGCACTCCCACTTCAAAGGAAGCTCCCCAGTTAGTCGACTCTTATGACATGCTTTTGGGGAGGCAGTGGGTCTATTCTTGTTTTTCCCACAATAGGGCCCCGGAACCCACACGGGGAAGGTGTCTCTGGTATGAACTTTACTGTCTTTTGTAATTCACCTAGCAGCCTGTGAAGTCTGGCTTCCATCGGTGTTTCTCTTGGCCACAAGTTTTTGCCTTGATATGTATTTGGGAACAGTCTTGGAGGGCGTAATCTGTTGTCTCAGGTGCCAGTCCACGTGTACACACGACTGATTCGCCAATCTTAAATTGGGTGTACATGTGGCTGTGAAGTCGATTGTGTCCTGTTCTAAAGAGTAGAGTAATGACTTGATCTGGTGTGTCCCTAATATGGTGATTGTCTTGTGCCAGTTTTGGTGGTTTTCTGACTGATATGATTATTCTCTTCTTCTGTTGATAAGAGAGCAATGGCAAATGATCATGATGATAAACAGTAGTCCTTACCATCAACATTATGTGGCACACCCTCCCTGTCTGTCCACTCAGATTTGGGACACACATACACACTCCCCTTGCTCTTGCGCATCAGTTTCATCTCAATTTCATCTCCAACTTTATAATCTTTGGTTTCTACACAAACCACGCTGCAACAGGGGTTAAAAAAAAAACAATCTTAAAATTTTACTAAGCAACATCAGAGAAATAAAGTTCTCATAACTGATATCACAGCACTCGAAACATTCCCACAAGTGTCCCGTACTCATCTACAGCAGACAGCAAACAATTGCAATAGTGTCTGTAGCATCTGTATGTCATCTTGCCTTCCCTCCGAATGTAAAGTGTCAACAAGATCACTCCTATAGTCGCAACATGTTTCAATTTCCTACTTCTTACATGACCAAAGAATGATGACTGTCTCCTGCTGATGTTTGTGACAGGTTGTCTTCCAGCACCTGCCTCCTTCAAAACATCCGGGTTACTCTTCTTAGCAGGGGTGTATTACTTTTATTAGATCCCATTTAGCACGTATTTTAATTTTTAATTTTCTGTCTCTTGGAATGTGTGTTACCAAGGTTTTACTCTAATATACTCACATAGGTTCTTAAAAATCTGCATTTATGAGTCAGTGTTTTATATATGACACCCGTTCTCTTCTTCTTCGCGTTCACTAGCTGTAAACTCCAGGGGAAAGTTCTGGCTGTTCAGTTGTTTCTGCTGGATTTCAGCTGTTAACTCCGACATCAGCTCCTTCTCCTGCAGGTGATGAAGTATACACGCCCAGCAGTAAACGTGTCCACACTTAGTGATCTTACCTGAAACAGACAGACAACTCTCAATCAATAGTAACAAACAAAAAGTGGCTAGAATAAACTTCTTGTTCACCCTTTAGTTAAATGCAAGAAGCTGCCAGAACATAATTCTTCCTCCTCCTGTTCACTATTACTTTAATGCAAGAAGTGGTCAGGACAAACTTCTTCCTGTTCACTGGCTATGAACTAGTGGTTGTTCATCCACTTCTGGACTACGGCTTTGTTCTAAAACTTGAGTGTTCTGTTTTACAGATCTGTTTTAGTTGGTTTTTTTGCAAAATTTGGTTCACTGACTCTCAGACAAATGCTCTCTGACTTTTAAGGAAAGCATACCATCTACTCTGGCCATGCCCCAGATAGGGAACCTGTTTCTAGGATGATCACCAAGATGTACAGACAGGTCTTGACAGTTGGTGTAGGCATTCATGCATTTCCACAGATCTCGGTCTTTGGTGTTCTGGATCAATTCCACTAATGATATTCCTGCATGCCACTGTCTTAAGCCATCCAGCATCATTTCTCTTGGTCTGCCTCTGCTACCAGTGATCATTCCAGTCGACACCATATTTTCCAGTGCTCTTTTTTCTCATCACATGACAAAAAAACTTTGTATGAATACAGGATGCAAATACTATGGAATAACAGAGATAACAAAGCTGTTCTTCTTAAGACAGCCTCAAATGGGTAAGACAAATTAAGACTTTCAAATCCAGCTGCGACTCGCTGCAGCCCACGGTCGGTGTTCGAAACCGGGCTGCTCATGGGGTTCACCCAGCCTCTAGGAAATGGGTACCAGAGTGATACTCTGGGGTAAATGGAGGAACGTCGCTGTAGCTACAGAGTTATGTGTGGACGGAGTCACAGGCGGACAATTCTTATCAGCTATCCGTACTGTTGGCAGAGCACTGATGGTTTATAATCGTGTGCAATGATGCTGGATCACATCTCCCGACTTTACCTTTACCTTGTTCTTTGGGCATGTCATGAGAAGGCATGAACTCGGGAACTTGGTGACAACTGCCAAGATTGATGAAAAAAGAGCAAGGGGAGAGATAAACAGATAAATACCTGGATGGGTTTATCCATATGGATAGGACATGTAGATGATGATAAGGATGATCTTTCATGTGTCTATATCTTTTATATTGTCGGTTTTTTATATCTTTCACGTTACCATATATCTTTCACGTTATCATATATCTTTCACGTTATCATATATCTTTCACGTTATCATATATCTTTCACGTTATCATATATCTTTCACGTTATCATATATCTTTCACGTTATCATATATCTTTCACGTTATCACGTTTATTATCATATATCTTTCACGTTATCATATATCTTTCACGTTATCATATATCTTTCACGTTATCATATATCTCTCACGTTATCGTATATCTCTCCAGTTTCAGGAAATCTTTAGTGATACCCTTTCAAGATATCTTGTTTGTCTTTTAAAGAAAATTTTATGTTACTGTCAGGATTTCTTTCATACTATCAGACAGCTTTCATTTTACTGTCAGGTCTTTCTCAAATGTATAAGCTCTGAGAACTACAGTGTCAGGATTTTTTGTATACTGTTGTAAAATGCTTCACCTGCTGAAGGCGCCTGGAGACAAATTGGGCAGACGGCAGGCTCCACGCTGAAAGTTCTGACCTGCTCGACCATGTCCCAGTTCACCAAAGCATCCGGGTTGATGGTCTGTTCCGCGTATCCACCCCCTTCTTTGACAACAAATTGGCAACTGTGGAGACATGCCAGAAACACTCAGAAAACCAAAAACATTTTAAATTAGAAGAATACAGGTATAAAATACTTTCAACCTATTTCAATAATTACATTTAGCTCTGGCCGGACATTTTTTTTTTAAATGACTTTGGCTCCCAGGTTGACCCAGCCTGTGTATGTACCAGGTACAGACATGGAAAGTAGAGCGGTCTTTTTGATTCTGACCACATCACCCATCAAGTGCCGTTTGGTTTAAAAATATAATATAGGTCTAGCCTTATATACCCAAAACTTCTGAAGGCGTGTAAAAGGGCCCTTTACTTTTTTTTTTTTTAATATTTAGCTCAGCATTCTTTCAAATTTATAACTTTTTCTTGGCATTCAATTTTACATGCTCAGGTCAGACCATCAGGTGGGCTGCCTCTATGAACTCATATGTCAATTGCAGGTCCTTCATGGTTGGACAGATCTTGCTCTGCACATTTTGCTTAAGGTCAAGTTTCTCTTCATAGTTGTAAGTAGAGTGCACAGACCTGAAGAATGGGCACACTGTGGGGACTGTACTTTTATTTTAAGCATATGATAGGTAAGCCTGCAGTGTCCTGTTCTAAGACAGAAAATTGTTTGATGTCGTTTTCTGCGGGGTCTTTTGGATATTTATTGTCAGTTATCTCTATTCCCCGTGTGGGTTCCGAGGCCCCATCCTGGGGAAAACAAGAATAGACCCTCTGCCTACCCAAAAGCATGTCGTAAGAGTTCGACTAATTAGGAAGCTGCCTTTGAAGTCGGAGTGCATCTACCTGAGAGGCAGGGAACCAACAGTCTGCATTCAAGTGAATCAGATCTGTAAAACTGATGCACATGCAACACTCAGGTTCTGGAGCAGGACTGCAGTTCAGAAGTGCACGAACAACCAGAACTTTCCACCAGAGTGTACAGCTGGTGAACGCGAAGAAGAAGTTTATCTCTATAAATCCTTGTATCTCCCCTTGACAAGTGATATAATTTTTTATAACGATCAAATTAGTAACAAAGATTACTGTCTTTTATGGCCAACTTTTCTTTTTTAGAAGATTTGAACAAGTGGACATGACTGTGCTGGATCTGTGTCCCGTATGATTCAATCTTTGTCAAGAGGATAGCTAGCCATCTGCCGAGACCGTTGCACAAACCAAGAACTGTGCAGCTCCAGTGACACTCATTACCTGAATGATGCAGTTCGTGAAGCTGCTTCTTTTTCTTAGTGTTCACCAGCTGTAAGCACCGGTGAAATGTTCTGGTTGTTCGGCCATTTCTGGACTTTGGTCTTGTTCTAGAACCTGAGTTGTGCATGCACATCCATCTTACAAATCTGGCTTATTTATACGCAGACTGTTGGTTTCTTGTCTCTCAGGTAGATGTACTCCAAATTTGAAGGAAACTCAGCCTTTACACCATGCTGGTTAGGAGGGAAAGAAAGCCACTCGGGGGATCGCAAACTGTTCCTCCTCAAAATGCATAATGGCAGAAGTGGAAAGTGATGATGATGATGATGTTTCATTTCACAGTTGTGTTATTTGTATGCAGACTGTTGGTTCCTGGGTCTTCTATTATTATTTTTTTTTGGGGGGGGGGGGTGTCCCTACAATGGATCATCACGGGCCACACAGGGATTGAACATAAGTGCCATAGATTTGTTTTTATTTTTGTAACAACACTGAGTGGTTGTGTGGCTTAGATTAGTGAATGTTTAACAACTTTATGACTCTCATGCACTGGTTCAATTTCCATGGTTAAAAAAAATTTTTTTTAACCTTATGGCTCTGGACAGTAGTACAAGACAGTCGCACCGTGGAAAAGATCAGGGCCTCACCATTTAATATCCCCAGACACAGCAATGGGTGCACTGCAGCCAACCTTCATTGCCGAGACAGAGCGTACATTTTTTCCACACACAAAAACATCGCTGAAGCAAAATATTCCTACGTGGCAAAGACACAAACATGTACATACCTGGCTTGGAGAAACTGCTCAGGGCTGTAGCGAGGTGTTGGTGCCCTCCGACGTGTCCAGTAACCTCCTCTGCCAAACCTGCCGCCAGGGTTCCTGCCATGTTCAAAATGTCCGCCGTCACCACGAGGGGTGAAGGAAAACCTCAAAAGGTAATTTGCATTGCCCTTGCGAGAGCTTGTATCGTCAGCAACAAACAGGTCCTCGGCAACTTCCACTACCTGCAACATGTAAACAAATATGCGTAAAAAATCCAATCAATCAAGTGCGAGAAGGCTTCAAATGAAAACCTTTAAAAGTGTAGTAACAGAACGCTGCTCGTCTCTGGTGCATGTCAAAAGTGGGGCAGTCATCTTCAAACTGTCATTATCTATCTGCACATTCCCCAGTTGTAAACTCCAGCGGAAAGTTCTGTTTTTATGCCCACCTCTGGACTTCAGTCTGTTTCCAGAACCTGAGTGCTGCCTGCACACCCATTTTACAGATCTGACTTATTTTTATGCAGGTTGTTGGTTCCTTGCCTATCAGGCAGATGCACTCCGACTTTCCAGTTAGTCGACTCTTACAACATGCTTTTTGGGGAGGCAGTGGGTCTACTCTCATCTCCCTTCTCCCCCCACCCAACAAAAAAGGGGCCCAGTAACCCAAACGGGGAACTGTCATTATGAGGTCAACGTCTGCACTGTGCTGATGAACACCCCTGACAATATTCACAGGTAACAAGAGAGTGGCATGGTTTTTGTAATTTCTTTCATACTTTTAAGGTTTCCATCTGAAGCCACTTCACACAACTAGTGAGCTTTTCAATTAAACAAACTGCCAACTACTGCCTTTACATACCACTTTTGCGGTGCGGGGGGGGGGGGGGGGGGGGGGGGGGGGGGGGGGGGGGGGGGGGGGGGGGGGGGGGGGGGGTGGGGGGGGGGGGGGGGGGAGGGGGGGGGGGGAGGGGGGGGGGGGGGGGGGGGGGGGGGGGGGGGGGGGGGGGGGGGGGGGGGGGGGGGGGGGGGGGGGGGGGGGGGGAGGGGGGGGTGGGAGTGGGGGGGGGGGGGGGGGGGGGCCTGAGGATTTAAGGCCACATGGCTAGTGCTGTCGCCACGGCTGTGCAGGTGAGGATTTTATTTTCTCCTCAGAAAAAAAATCCCCAGCCTTACCAGGGATTCGAACCCAGGTCTCCCGCATAAAAGCCCAGCGTTGCTAACCATCGGCCAGCTGCTCCTGTAAAAGAATCACAGGTTAAAAAAAATTGTGACCGGTACCATCAGTATTGGAACTCTGCGCCGGCTGCTGAAGATGAGGATGGAGCATGAACGGGAATGCCCCGAGTGCTGTCATGTCAATTCTTGACTCAACAACTCGACAGGTAAAAAAAAAAAAATGGGAGTTTTTTTTTCTCTAGAAATTGTTCCAGAACTTGAGTTTTGGGTGCAATATCTGAACTGCACATCTGGCTTAAAATATGCAGACTGCTGGTTCTTCGCACTTCAGACAGATGTACCCTGACTTTGTTTGAAGGAAAATCAGTAATATGTCACCTTTTGCAACATGCTTGTTTGGGGGAGGGAGTTGGGGGTTCCCTTCTCCAGTGGATCCTAAAACCCACACAGGGGGGAGCATCTAAAGGCAAAGGACAGAAGGTCTTAGTGTAAGCTGACTGAAGACCTATGCTTGAATGGGAGGCAAAAGGGGGGAAAAAATGACCTGGTGTTACTGACCTCTTCACCTTGTCGATCATTATAATAGCCTCTCGGTCGCGGCCTCTTATCACCGTACGATTGGCTGTACTTCTGAACTGGCTTCGTATTCTGAGAAAGCTCCTGTGATCTGCCGCCATTATTCGTTTGCTTATATTTTCGCTGTCGTCCATTTTTATTCGATATGTAATCTGTAATGGAAAATCATAACATGAAACACACAAGCTGGTGAAACACAACACAGACCATTTAATAAATGTGTAGTGTGGGTGGTCACTTCTATCCACAGCCTTTTTCTTGTGTGCTTTCAATCAACTCTGATACAGATGATCCTCCATGCCATCATGTCAAACTGTTCAGTATCCTTTCTCTCGGTCTCCCTCTGCTTCTCCTCCCTCTCCAACTTTTCTACTGTCACGATGTAAATTCTGGTTTTCTCCTTATCATATGATCAAAGACTGTATATTTTCTCTTTCTGATGTGGACAATCAGTTCTCTTTGTGAGTCAGTTACTTTCAAGACATCTTCATAATTCTTTTATCTGTCCAGGGTATTCTCATCATTCGTCTATAAAACCACATCTCCGCAGCTTCCTAATAATTGTTCACTTATTTACCAACTGTCCATGATTCACTTGCATATATCAGGATAGGATTTATATAGCTTTTAAGAATTCTTTTTCTCGTCCCAACTGACAAAATTAAAAAAATTAAAAAAGATCACAAAATATACATTATGTTAAATGCTGCCTTTGCTTGAGCGTGTAACTACATGTAACTTCTTTAATACATCTTTCATCTAATGTTATCTGGGTACCACAGTTCTCAACCTGATTCACTCAATATACTGGCTTTGCCAACTGCTTCGAATCCCAGAGATGTTGCTAATTTGGTTTCATCGCACAGGCAGTCCCAGAAGACATTTTTATCAGTTCTGACACTGTATTCGACTATGTGGTGTTTAAATAAACAGTGACATCTTTGGAAACCAATGGTTCTTTTATCAATGTCCATTCCTTTGCTGGGATTCAAACTCAAAATCTCGAGCTGGACATTACTACCTCAACCTCCCCATGCGGGTTCTAGGGCCCCATTGTGGGGAAAACAAGAACAGACCCACTGCCTGCCCAAAAGCGTGTTGTAAAAGTCGACTAATTGGGAGCTTCCTTCGAAGTTGGAGTACATCTGCCTGAGACAAGGAAACAAACAGTCTGCATGCAACACTCAGTTTTTGGAGCAGAACTAGAGTCCAGAAGAGGATGAACAACAAAAACCTTCTGCCAGAGTTTAAAGTCTGTGATTGTGAAGAAGAAGACTACCTAAACACTCCCCCCCCCCTTTTTTTCATGTTAGAGATCAATTCCGACTGACTACTGTCAATACAGCAAATGATTTAATATAATGTAATAATCAAAGGTATGGTTGTCTGACAGAATACAGAAAATAACCAAAGGATGTTACAACCTGGGACCTCTGAAGTGGTACTTGCCACTCTGCACAAAGCATGCCTCTCTCCACCCGGGATAATAGTTCTTAACCCAACAAACAACAACAAAAAGAAACCACCAATACATAGATACTTTTATTAGCAACAAGACAACTAACTTTTACTGAGAATAAACTGTATTAACCTGATTTAACAACAAGCAGCTTCTGTTCCAGGGCAGTAGAAAAATTCACTTTCCACAATGAGCACATTATAAAATAACAAAACCCAGTTAACCAAATAGCACAATTAACATGGCTCTGGTATCTCTGAGCTGTAGATATCGGGGAGGAATTATCAAACAAGGCACAGACGTGATTACAATACTCTTGCTTACACAACAACTGTTGATAACTCAAATTTTGGAGAATCTATTAGGATTTAATTTTCTGAATGTCTAACAGATGATCCCTTCCCTGTGTAGGTTTCAGTGGAGGAAAAAAAATAAAACGTCATTCCACCCACTCCCCCACAACAAATATGTCTTAAAACGCAGGGGATCTTCCTTCAAAGTCGGAGTGCATCTGCCTGAGAGGCAAGGACCTGACAATGGAATGACTGCATACAAAGAGTTCAGATCTGTAACATGGATGTGCACCCAAAACTTATACTTTACAGGCAAAAAATGTTTGCCAGACTCAATGCTACCAGTTTCAAGCATAGACCTTTACTAAAACGTGCTTAAAACCATACAAGAGCTGAGGTGTCTTAGAACAGCTGCCGGAGTAACAAGGAGAGAACATTTCAAGAAAGTGGTATGAACAAATAAACTTTCCGCAAAAGTTTACAGTCAGTGATCGCAAAGAATAAAAAAAATAATTATCTCGAAACTAAGAAAATTATTATTAACTCATTCAATTTTTTTAAAAAAAAAAAAAAAAAACTTACTGGGCATTTATTTCTTACCCTATTATAACTGTGCTCTTTCCACACTAACCCATTCAATCCTAATGTTTATTTTGACTCATTTTATCCTACTGTGTTATATGAAACCTTTCAGACTCAAACACATTCCAACGTAGGTAGCAAATGGTTCATTACAACGAATGAAAGCAACACATGGACCAGTACTAAAAGAGTTTATATGAGATAATGTACAGGAAAGGTAACGTGCATTTTAACTATCTGAAACTTCACTAAAAGAGTTTATAAATGAGATACCGCAGAAGAAAATTACCACAGTAAAGTAAAGGACCCTTTTCCAGCCTTCAGGCGTATTGGGCATTTAGGGCTAGACCTATATTTTATAGACCAATCGGCACTTGGTTGGTGATGTGGTCAACATCACGCCGACTGCCTTTACTTCCCAGGACTGCACCTGGTACCCAATCAAGGCTGGGTCTACCCGAAAATTACCATACTTTAATTATTTTCAACTTTACAGAAAGAACTTTTTTTTAGGCCAACTCTTTTACAGTGTCAACGATGGACCCTTCTTACTGCACCTAATGAGCACAAAACCATAACACCAGAGGTGACATGCCTTAGAGGAGCTGCCAGAATAACAAGGAGAGACAATTTTAAATGAAGCATTTTCAAAGCAGACTAGGACTCAAACCAGTCAGGCAATTCATTCAAAAACAGAGGTGAACTGGTCATGTGACAAAATGTCCTGGTTACAAGTGCCAGGGACAGCCGCACTGAAGAAATATTATAAACATTGAGCAAGAGAGAGAAGCTCATGCCAAAAAATAAAAACTGCAAGACCGAATCAAGAAAAGCCTTTAAAAAAAATATCAACAATGGTACTGAAAGAACAAACCGAAGATCCTTACAACACCCCCCAACACCTTGGCGAGGTAACCTTCTTCTTCTTCTTGTTCACCGGCTGTGAATTCCGGTGGTAAGTCGCGGTTGTTCGTCCAAAATGGACTTTTGGCTTTTACCTTGACCTGAGTTTTGCGTGTACATCCGTTTTACTGGCTTATTTGTTCGCAGTTCTCGTTCCCCGCCTCTCCGGCAGATGTACTCCGACTTCGGGGGAAGACCTCAAGCCTATTTCTAGGTTGACTGTGGCCATTGTTTTGTGTGGGTCGAGATGTTGCCTCATTTGTGTGGTGTCCTCTTTGACCTTTAACAGGTGTGGCCCCCGGAATGTCGTCTTTGAGGCAGCTCTATGTAGAATTGTCAGCCCTCAAGGGAAGGCAGTGCGAGGTAACTAAAGGAACAGACAGTAAATATTTTCAAACTATAATTAAAATAAAATAAGAAGGTAAAACAAGCATCCTATGAACATCTGAAACTGTCCCTAGGCAATAATAAAAGCTCATGATAAATTATGCTTATTGCATAAACTTTCTATTATATATATAGACCCTGTGGCACCACCCACTGAAACCACAGTTGTTTACTAATAATACAGAACTGAACATCACACCAAGAACACACCGCCTTACAGTATTACTAACAAACAAAAAAGTATGGTTAAAATAAACTCTGTCAGGATATCCAAATTTCACCACAAAATGTAATACATAAACAAGTGAATGGTTATAATTAGAATGTTTAGTCACAGATTTTTTTTTATTTATCTTTAATGTAGGCCACGGTCTGCCCTGGTATTCGGAGCTATTAACTCTCTTAGCACGGAACAATTTATTTGGTGCTTTCTTAATATCCTACCCCAAACAGGGGAAAACCACAGGTAACAGGACAGTCTAATATTTCAAGGGGTGGTAGATATGCTAAATGCAGTCATGGAACCTAGGCTTTACTCTCTCGTGGGACATAGTTGGGTGGGGTTAGGGCCAGTTCTAGATGTTTTGGGGTCGTTAAAAGCGTCAGAAAGCTGGGAAACCTAGTTCTGTTCTACAGGATGTAATTTAAATGACATTTTTTTTTTTTTTTTTGGTGGTGGTTGTTGAAAATATTGCTGTTCCCATTTTTGTAATCACCGTCTGTGGAGTTATTGCAACATAGACTGCTAGTGTGTTTTATTTTAGGTAACGTTTTCCACATTACAGCCTTATTCACAATCAATTCTACTGGTTAAATTGTTAACAGTATTAGGATGAGGCACTTTTATTAGGAAATGACATCATAAATTGTTGAACAACCACATACATTTAAATACATGTAACCATAAGGAAACCAAGTGCCGACAATTATGAAAATCAATTCCAAGGATATAAAATCATTATTTAATTTTAATTAGGCAAAGTTTTAGTAGAAATCCAAACTGAGAGAGCAAAGAGAATCATCTTTCTTGAGCATTTGGCTTTGGCATCGGGGTAAGAATCCAATATAAATATATGGTTCAATAACCATGGGATACAGTGAATGCACTGAATGTAATAAGACTTAATAAGAGAACTCTACTCATAATGATTCCTTGACTTCCTAATTTCATTTAGTACTCCCTGATCGATAAAGCTAAGAGGCATACTTCTGCATATGATGAATGATTTTAATTTTAATGTAGCGACTACAGTTTCGGCAATTTGCGATCTTTTTGGCAATTTCCGTTACCATGGGAACCGTTCGAAACTTGATTGGGAAATGTCGGCTGGGGTTTCGGGATGGGTCCTAATCTCTCATGAAATTTAGCGATTGGTGTGATTTTCACTACCTATAAATTGCTGAAAACGGTGGGAACGAACCCGATTAACAGCGCATGTCTACGACAGCCGGACGTCCTCTGTTTTTTTGTTACATCAGTTTGATTGAAAATAGCGATAAGTATTCAAGGTTGGCTTTAGGCTTTAACTGTTACTAGACATGGTAATGCTAGTTATAATTGAATTCTCCGTCCAATTTTACATTTGTGTATAAAATTTCTTTCTTTTCAGTGGCTATTTAGATTTACAGTGACATTTTTCAGGCAATCGCTATTATGTGGCTGTGAGAAAAATTGTTTGCCATCTCGTCCAATGAAAACAAAGCCAAAACGAAAGTGCACAGTTTGGTTGTGCAGAGAAAACTTCTTGTTTCTGAGAAACAAGTTTTCAACAGCTGTTTTTCACATCTTATCTCCACAAAAACCTACATATCTCAGCTCAGAAATGACATACAAGCCTAAATGAGGTACCGTTGGAAAGGGATTGTTTACAGCTATCTAACTGTGCTGGTTTTATTGGTGTAGAGGGCATTTTAAAAATTTTACTAAAGTATCTATTTAATGAATGACAAACAATATGACATAACATGTTGAGGAAAAACAACATTGGAAAACATCTCTTTATCTATGTGTCAATGTTGGATCATTAACAAGTGAACAAAAAATGAATTAAACTTAAATTAAGACACAAAAACAATAATGCAGGACATATTTCAACCGAGAAGGAGGGGAAAAAAAGCTCTGACTTCACAATCCGACAATCACATCTCAACTTTGGCAACCAAAATGGTCGTTCCGTCACCTGACTGATGATTCTGGTTATTTTGTCAAAGACTTTCTTACACTTACCACTTTTCTTTTCGCCAACAACACCATTGTTTTTAGGCTGCACCGGCGACTGCCTCGATGGAAGCTTCTTCTCCATTGCACCACTGCCTTCGTCGAACATCAACAAAACAATACAAAGCAAGATCGGTCTGCAAAGCAGAGATGATAAATCCACAGCGTTGGGACTTCATGATTAACATGCCATTGTGACCGACAAAATTAAAAAAGAAATATACTACGCTTGCTTTCTATAAAATTTACAATACAGATGGTAAGCGAAGGTGTTTTAGAACACGCAAAAAGCGAAAGGGCACGCTTGCACCCCAAGGCGTCAGCTGGAATGCTGTCGCAAATTTTCCGAGCGATCACTGATCGCCAAATTTTAAGATGGCGTTTAACGGTCTTTGCAGACTGGCGCTGCTGCCCGGATGTAATTCTGTATGTGTAATTGTGTATGCCAGCTAGTACAACTTCCTTTTTGTTTCGTATTTAATAGAGATCTCTGTGGATCCTCCACTGGAGCTGCGGTACGGGTAACGTTTTTAACAGGCAAACTGTGACTGTAACAAGGAAATCAGCATGGTTAATCCAGACCACAATGATTGATCCGTGCCTCTGCATTGTTCATTTGCTTCCAAAGGGCCTTGACCACATCTAGCCTGTGATGCATAAATTCACCACAAATGTAGTCCTAAAGGTACCAGGGATCACTTCAAAAGATGCCCAGACGGAGACACAACAGAGAACCCTGGCTCTTGCTATGCTTGATGAGAAGTATCCAAACACCACTTGGACTCAGGTTTTCACCGACGGCTCTGCTACAGATGCAGTCAGAAAGGGGTGTTGTGGAATATATACTAAACCCCCTAGCAGTAGAGCAGAAACTCTCTCTCTCTCTCTCTCTCTCTCTCTCTCTCTCTCTCTCTCTCTCTCTCTCTACCAGCAGGTGACATCTGCACTAACTTCAGAGCTGAGGCAACTGCCCTCCTTTCTGCAGTCCAACATCCCATCACTCAAGAACACAGAGGGCACAAAATTGTTATACTTAGTGACTCATTGTCTGTTCTCCAAGCACTTTCAAGCAAAAAACGAGACAAACAATGGAGCCACATTGCAAGAAGCTATGGGGGACCGGTGGCGACCTTAAACGGACAATCCTATTTGTGACCCAAACAGGACTCACTTTTTAGCATGACTGAAGTCGAACGCAGAAGAAAAAGAAGAAGAAATCCACCCATTGGTGCAAAAACCAGCAAGTCTGTCTGCCTATTTATTTCCTAACACTCCGATATGCCATGAAGAAAATATCCTAAGAAAAATAACTATCCGAGACGTGTATTTGAAATAATGTGAACCTGTAAAAAACAATACTTAAAAACAGAGAGCTTCACTACACTAGGGGTGGGTGTCCCCTAACCCCCCGTGCAAAATTATATAGGGGTAGTGGCTGGGTCCCCCCCCCTCCCTGAAAATTATAAGGTGTCTGATGTTCCAGTGCCCTTGACCCACTTAGTGATGTGATCAACGCCCCTGCTGCTTTCCAAAATACCTCCTAGTGCCCAGTTTAGGCTTGGTCCTCTTTGAATCCAAGTCATTTATACAACAACCGTCTGTCATTCGATTTCGAACCCAAGAACATCGGGCCAGCATGTAAGCGTTTACCACGGCTTCCCAAACGAAAAAGCATAACAAAATTATACAATGGTGTGAACAGGACCGGGCTAATGCCCTAAGCAAAAGATGTTGGTTGATGATTAATCCGGCCCAGCATGTAAAATAAATATCATGAGCGCTTAAATGACGGTTATTAACTTAACTCCTGGTTGCGTTATTGTTCATTTAAAGAACATCTTCATCGCTTATCGGACATGACCATAAGGGCTCTGATCTCCTCCTAAGTATGTCTCCAAGTGATTTTAGGCTAACAACTCCCATTCTGTTCTGGTTGATTTTTCTCTTCTGGTTGATGTAACGACCGACGGCTCCCACGTGGTTTTCCTGTCTCGCTCCTCCAAATGGTACACCCAGGGTCTGCAGTCTGTTCAGGGAAAAGTTTAGTCTGTCGATGACGTTATTGTCGTCTCTCCAGTCTATAGATGGCCCATTCCTGATAGTCCCAAACCCATGTGTGGTAATGTATATGGTAGGAAAGCGCAATTGCTAGATACTTGCTTGTCGGTTCAAATGTTTTGAGTTCGAATCAGTATCGAGGCGCTTTGTCTATCCGTTGCTCTTTTCCTCTTCCTCTCCTCCTCCTCCTCTATCTTATTCTTCTTAAGTTTGCTGGCTGTAAAGTTCTAGTTGTTCGACGATGGCTCCTTGCCTCACAGGCAGATGCGCTCAGACCTCGCAGGAAACATTCCTGCCTTTTACGACATGCTTGTTAGGAAGACAGTGGGTCTAGTCTTTCTACCGCTCATAATGGGACCCTATAACCCACACCGTTTTCCCATCAACACGTTTGCTTTACCTGGCCACCAAAACAAAGCATTTCCGGTATTTTCCCGTACTCGGACATAAGACTACAACTATTGAAACTTCAAGATGTATGCAGCACATTCTGTTATAAATTTGACATGAAAATTTGAAGATTTTAATAAACTGTTGGATGGATCATTGCATAATTTGGCACGAGTTATAGAAAGTAAGTAAAGTAACAGACCCCTTTCACGTCACTGGTCTTAAAGTAAAAGTAAGTAAAGAACCCTTTTCCACGGATGTAGGTGCATTCATTTGGGTATAAAGGGCTAGACTTATATTTGGCTCTCCTCCGAACTTCTACCCCGGCATTATGGCGGCCAAACAAATATCCTAACAGGGCCTCAGTCCTATGAAAAATGCGGACTTTTTGGACTTCCTGCCGAGCGACAAAAATAGGATCGGCTCCGTGTAACGAAACAAATGCTCAGCTCTCCTGTCAAATCCGGAGGAAGAATAAAAAGCCTTGGACGACTTAGTCAGAGTTCTCTCCCTTGGCCGCACTGCAAACAGTGATCGGAAAAGCCAACGAAACAAACGACACACTTACCTATCATCATACGGTTGCGTGTAGGGCTGCGTACGGTTGGGTGAGGCATCGTGAAGGGATGCGTAGTCATCATACGGTTGCGTGAAGGGATGCGTAGTGTTTGGGTTTGAGTTAGGGGTAGGGTTAGAGTTAGGGGTAGGGTTAGAGGTAGGGTTAGGGTTTAGAGTTAGGGGTAGGGTTAGGGTTAGGGTTAGGTTTAGGGGTAGGGTTAGGGTTAGGGTTAGATGTGAAAATTTTGACGTAGGATTTCGAAATACTGGCCGACAATCTGATGTTAGTGGGCGTGGCGCCACTGAAACTCTGCCAAATATGACGCCAATAGCGTGCGGCTGGTGCCCCCAATCGTTGGCGAAATGTGCGTTTGACCAGCATCCAGAGGCCCTAGATTGTTTGTGTGTGTATGGGACTGTGTGCGATTATAGGGAACTCCGGCGTCAAAATTGTCAAATCTAACGCTACACCTAACCCTACCTCTAACCCTAATCCTACTCCCTAGCCCTAACCCCTACCCCTAACCACGCAAATTTATCGATCATTAAAGCATACAAATCGGCAAACACCAACAAACAAAACACACCCAAAAAAAAACAGAATTGTCCTGCAGCGTCGAAAATAAAACCAGATCTGGGGGAAACAACCAAGCATTGGCAGCGCTGATGTCGACGTGACTGTCTTCTTTGTTTCGTTGGCTTTTCCGATCACTGTTTGCAGTGCGGCCAAGGGAGAGAACTCTGACTAAGTCGTCCAAGGCTTTTTAGTCTTCGTCCGGATTTGACAGGAGTACCCAAATGCTCTAACAGGGTCTCAGCGAAATGTGATATATCGTAGCGACTCAAGGGAATGGCGAGACGGAAATACACGCATGTTGTTACTGGTACCATCGGAACTGAAACTTTGTGCTTGCTGCTGATTATGTGGACGGGGTGCTTTTTAAGGGCATTCCCGAGTGCTGAGACGTCGATTCTAAATTCAACACTTAACATTTTAACCTCTTTAATGCAGTTTTCATCAACTGCCATTTAAATACATCAATATATTATTGAAGTTATTACCCCGTGTGGGTTCCGGTGTCCCATTTGGGATGGGGGAAAAACAGACTACCTCCTAACAAACATGTCGTAGGAGAACATCTGCCTGAGAGGGTAAGGAACCAGCAGTCGGCATAGACGTAAGCCTGATTTGTAAAGCGAATGTGCACGCAAAATACACATTCTGTCACTAGACCACAGTCCGAAAGTAAACAAACAACTAGAGCTTTTATTTTGGAGTTTTTAGCCTGGGAACGCACAGAAAAAGACGATGAAGACTGGGGGTTTTCAGAAATTTAATGAGTTATGTATTGTTCTTTTTCTGGCTGAGGCAACTGAGTAGTCTTCTTCTTCTTCTTCTTCTTGTCTTCCACCTTGTACCTCATCGAAGTGTCGGGCGGATATGGAATGTTCGTTGATGGGCTCTGTCAAGAGCACTATTAAGACTGATGTTCAATTCTGTAAGACTGTTCTTAATGCCATCACTCCATATTTTCCGAGGTCTTCCACTCGCTCTATTCCTGTTGCAACGTTTTAGTGTGGCTCGCTGTGGCAGATAGTACCAGGGGATTCTTGTTAGGTGTCCAAACCACTTCATTTGTTGTTATTTGATGACCTGTAAGACTGGCTTTATTCCTAGCATTCGTCTGATTTCATGATTTCGTATTCTGTCTTTCCTTCAAACTCCTGCAGCTCTTCTAAGGCATTTCATCTCTGTTGTCACAATTTTACTTTCATTGGAGGATGTAAGTGTCCACGTTTGGCATTGATAGCATAGTGTTGGCCAAAAAATAGTTCTGATAAGATTCACTTTAGTACTCTGAGGTATCTGCTTGTGTGCCAACAGGGGAGATAGTTGACCCATTACTTGATTAGCTTTGGCACATCTGGAGTAGTGCACGCCGGAAAAGTGAAGCCGCGAGATTTCAGGCAAACGGGACAATGGCTCGTCTGGAAAAAGATGGGCACCAACCAGGTCAGATTGTTTTTCTTGCCCTATCACACGACGGGTCTAGCATTACGATTGCTACTGCTAAGAAATGTTGAATACATATAGTACATAAT